CTCTTTTTGGTCATTTCATTAAGTTTAGTCCATTCTTCCAGGCTTAGCTCATAGTCCACCTCCTCCTTGAAGCCTTTCTGGATTGATGTAGGCCATGGGGGGCTCCTCCACATTCCTGAGGTGCTTAGGATGGAGGTGGGAGCTCAGCTAGGAAGGCTTTGGCGACAATAACATCGTATCCATCAAACAGCAGATTAAACTAGTAGAGATTTCCTTTCCTCAGGTGACAAGAAATCTGGAGGTAGCTGTGATTGGCACTTAGTTCAGTGGCTCAAGGTCTCAGTGCCAACACCTGTGTGGTTCTCCTTGCCACTCCCTCATGATTGCAAGGTGGCTGCTGAATCTCCAGCCATCACATTCCCAACAGGAAGGAAGAGGAAAGGGAAGGGGGATGGTGCCAGCAAGTTTCTACTGCTGGCAACTACCCATAGTCCCCTAGGAAGGAAGTTTTCCCCTCCATGATAGTGGATGCAGGCACCTCTTAGGTGAATATTTTGGTGGTTTGGTTTTTTAATTTTTTAATTAAATATATTCTCTTTTGAAAAAAAATCTTGAAAAACGTTTAGGAAAAGCCAAGTCCTCTGGACTGTCCCATTCCCAAATCCTGGTCTCTCTTGGGCTGTGGTCAGATTGTTTCCACTGTGGCCCCTCGTGGCACAGGTGCTAATGCCAGTGTTGCCCCCGGGGTGCTCAGTCTATAGGTCTTTGGCACATCGCTGGGGTGTGGGAGCTGGAGGGGCAGGGGTTGACGGTGGCTGTTCTGTTCTCCTGTTCCCCCCACCCCCCAGGAGCCTGAACGAACTGCGAGTGTTGCTGCTGGAAGCCAATCGCCACTCCCCAGGGCCCGAGAGGGACCTGAGCCGCGAGGTGCACAAGGCTGAGTGGCGGATCAAGGAGCAGAAGCTCAAGGACGACATCCGGGGCCTTCGAGAAAAGCTGACGGGGCTGGTATGCAGGGGATGGGGCGGCCTGGGGGCGGGGTGCCAGGGCAGGGCTGGAGCTGCCCTACTGTCAGGCCATGGAGACTGGTGACCTCCTGGGGTGACCCCAGGGACAGCCAAGTCACAGGGAGGATTTAAAATGCCCTAGGACCAGAGGCAAGGTCAGCGACGTGGCAGGCGGAAGGGCCCTGGGCAGCCCCTTTTGCGGATATCATGGCCGGCTGTGTGGCAGTCTGGGGGTGCAGCTGGGGGCAGGCCCCCGGCCCTCAGGGTTCGGGTCTGAGGGGCATCACTCTGGCTGCTCACGCAGACTGCAGGTGTCGTGTCACTTGGCCTTCAAATCTTGGCATGTCTGGCCACAGGGGTTTGGTTCCAGCACACTGCGTGGTCCTCATGGCTCTGTGATCTGAGAGTGACTCAGGAGGACTCGGCCTTGGGGCTGGCGGGGACCGGGGAGTTCGCACCCACCCGGGGCCTTCCCAGAGCCATGTGGGAGGCGGGCAGTTCTGGGCTCAGCCTCCTCCCCACGGGGCACAGGTTGGTCAAGTTTATGTGCGCATCCCCCACCCCCGGGGGGGTGCCCATCTGTTCCCTGCGCTGTGCCCGGCGCCACGGGGAGCTGGGGAGGGCGTGGTGGTCGGTCGAACCACCCAAGGGGAGGAAGGCTCTGTGAGGAGGGGTTTGGCTAGAGGGTCAGGGCGGGCAGGACCGGGCAGCACGTCGGGGGGTGGGTTCATGTGGAGTGAGGAGGCAGCTGCCTGGGCAGGTGCAGCTCTGGGTGCCCCGTGGGGCGGCTGTGGAGGGAGGACACCCCTGTAAGAAAGTGGGGGGCGATGTAAGAAGGAAAGAAGGGAGGGGGCCTGGATTTCGGACCTGGAAATTGTGGAGCGTCTGGCAGAGCCTGGGAGTTCGGGGCAGGGGACCTGCAGGGGAGGGAGAGAGACTGAGGGACATCCGGGAGACGCCCAGGCCTGGACCCAGAGGTGCGGTGGGGCCAGACTTTCCCGCCTAGAGGTAAGACCCCTCCCCCCAGCACACACATGACATGTATGTGCACATGCCTGTGTGCACACGTACTCTTCCACTCTCCTGCTGCTTCCAGGACAGAGAGAAGTCCCTGTCGGATCAGAGGCGCTACTCCCTCATCGACCCGTCCTCGGCGCCCGAGCTCCTGCGGCTGCAGCACCAGCTGATGAGCACGGAGGACACGCTTCGGGACGCGCTGGACCAGGCTCAGCAGGTGGAGAAGCTCATGGAAGCCATGAGGAGCTGCCCCGACAAGGCCCAGGTGAGCCACAGGCCAGGCCAGGTGACCAGGAGGCAGCCATGGGGCAGTGTCCCTGGAGAACCCCAGGCTGAAGGGAGCGGGGAGGAGGCCGTGCGTTCTGGGAGGCCAGGCCAAGGGGTCTGTACCCTGAGGAGCTCAGACTGAGAGGTGTGGCCCTCAGAGGTGGGGGTCCCTGGAGCCCCAGCCTACAGAGGTTGGGGTTTGGAGCCCACGCCGGTCGCACTGGGGAGACCTCGCCATCTAGTGGGAGAACCAGGAACTGCTGCCTGGTGCACCTCTCTCAGCATCTCCTGCCGACTTTTCCAGACCATCGGCAATTCCGGTTCTGCAAACGGCATCCACCAGCAAGATGAAGCTCACAAACCGGCGGTAAGGGGCGCCCTGGCCTCCCCAGGCCCTCCCGTGCAGGCACCTCTCTGGGGAAAACCCTGAAAAGTCACTAAAACCGCAGACGAAGCTGCATTGCACAAGTGTGCAGTGGGGCCACGGAGGAGGGGCTGGGCAGTCAGACCTGATTCAGTTTCCGTCCTGTGTGGGCCTTGTTACCTCCCTTCTTAAAAACCTTCTTACTGTAGCGCATTAGAGCCTGTCTTAGTCCGCTTAGTGCTGCTCTAAAGGAATGCCTGAGGCTGGGTAATTTACAAAGGAAAGAGGTTTATTTAGCTCTTGGGTGTGCTGGCCAGAAGGTTCAAGGTTGGGCATCTGGCGAGGGCCTCTGGAAGCTTCCACCACAGCAGAAGGCAAAGGGGGTCAGCTGCATGCAGAGATCACGTGGCGAGAGAGGAAGAGGGGGAGGTGCTGGGCTCTTTTTAAACAACCAGCTTTCGAGGTGACTAATAAGAGCAAGAAGTCACTCAGTCATCCACACTGTAGCAATGCTGGTGTGGAAACTTCTGGAAAAAATCCAAAAATGTATGAGGAAGAAATGCTCACCAGTGGCCCTCCTGCTCAGAAATGACCTGGCCTGGGAACCCTGGTGTCCTCTAAGCAGTGTCCTTCCTGAACTTCCCCAAGCATGTGTGTGTGGGTGTGTGTGGGTGTCTGCACTCACTAAAATTTATTCGTAACCCCCAAATCAGTGCTGTCGGCCCTTTCGTGGTCATTCGCACGCAGGCGCAGAGAGGCGAAACTTGAGCTGCCCCGCGAGCGCTCCTGCCTGAGGTTGAGCACGGCGGCCTCTGCCGCCTCGTTTCAGCTCTCACACAGTAAACAAGCGTCCTTTTCACAGTCGGTGTGCGCCACGTTTTCATATTTCTGTGCTTTTTGTGGGCGATCTTGCTGTTGAACGTGGCCCTGAAGCACAGTGCGGAAGTGCTGTCCAGCGTTCGTCTGCGCGGGCCGGCTGTCGCATGCCTTACAGAGGAAACACGTGTGTGCTAGATAGGCTCCGTTCAGGCGTGGGCTGTCGTGCCGTTGGCCGCGAGTTCAGTGAATCAACTAGAGACACTAAACGTGGCGACTTTAAGCAGAAGTACGCATAAAACACGGTTGTGTTTTGATTGGTTGATGAATGTGTGATTAGAGGCTTGCGAGACCCTAACCCTATATTTTCACTGGAAGCAATGGGTCAGGGTTCCATGATGCAGTGTTCATGGTGACTTTCTAGAATAGAACTACTGCAGATAACAAGAATCATTATTATATGTGTGTATATGTACATATCTGGGTGTATATATTAACTTTTTATTTAAAAATCATTTCAAACTTACAAACTAAAGTGAAAGCACGTAGAACGTTGTATAATGTATACCGTTGACCCATACCGTGTTGTTAATACACTGTCTTTGCCCTTTGCTCTCTCTGTGTGGATGTGTGGATGTAATAATACAATTTTTTCTGAACCATTTGAGTATAATTCCATGTGTCGTGGCCCTAAACACTTCAGTCCCTATTTCCTGAGCGAAGGACAGACTTTCACGTAACCACAGTGGTTACCAGCCTCAGTAGGTGTAGCAGCGATACGAGATGCGTATCGAACCCACTCTCCAAACTCCAGTGTTTTCAGTTCGCCCAGTAGGGTCTCCGGGGCTCTTCTTTCCGAGTGCGGGATCCAGTCTAGTGTTAAGTTGTCTTACCGCATCCAGTCCTTACGTCTCTTAGTCTTGTTTGGTCTGGAACATTTCCTCCACTTCTCTTTGATTTTTATGACATTGACTTTTTTTGTCCAAGATCATCACGTTTTATTAAGTCAGCACATTTAAAAGGTGTGTCCTGGGGTGGAGACAAAGAAGGAGGCGTTAAAATATACACATACGTAAACAAGTACCTCTCGATGTCACCAGGACCGAAATCACCACGTGCAGATCTGTCTCGAGTACAGGGGGACGCGAACACCTACCAGATCCGATTAACTAGGCTGGGGGGTGGGGGGAGTGGATGACCACACAGGACAATATAAATGGGCCTGGGGGGTGGGGGTGGACGGTCACCTATCCAGAACCCATAATCTAGTTGGCGGTGAGATGAGGAAACCGTATGATTCAGACATAAAGGCAAGAAAATAATGTCACTCCCAAACTGCACAAGTGAAGCACAGACACTGGCCAAGGGGATATGACCACGTAGTCTGATCCCGGAACTCAAGGACAGAGTATTGTTCCCACACACTGCAGGGGGAGGTGAAGAATCACCCCTGTTCTGGGACTGCGAAGCAAGTACCCTAAGACACAGCCCTAACGGGGTCAGCGCCCCCCCCAGGCCAGGCCTTACTGAGGCCAGGAGCAGAGACAGCCCAAAAACCCCCTCAGAAGCCCCCTCAGTCTCAGCCAGAGCCACCTGTACTCCTTGTACCTGTGTGCCCAACCCACACCCTCCGCTGTCGGATGCGGAGCGGTGGCTCCCGGTCCAGCTCCATCCGTCGCCAAAGCTAGCTGGGTAGGACTGAGACTCCCGTGAACCAGGGAGATGTCATCCAAGCTGGGGGATGTGAGGCAGTTCCCCATCTTCTGGGACTGGAATGTTTGATCTGGGGGAGGAAGAAAGCAGTGGTGGGGTCAGCCTTGGGCCCCCACCCCCAGGGGCTGGCATGACCCGGGGGGCGGGTGCCATGGCTTGAGCTCTGGCAACCCTGTTACTGTTCCCCAAGGCTCCTGGGGACACTTGCTGACCAAGCCCTTGCTCTCTCTAGGACAAGCACTGACCCCGCAGGACACGGTGGATCGGCCCAGTCCACACCAGAGCTCCAGCCAGCTGCCCGGCGATGCCCCCTCCAGGCAGGGGCCAAGACTGTCACTTTGGAGACAAGACAGTGTTTGTAACAATAACGTACTCGCCACCGTGGAAAATCCCCCACCCCAAAACCCCTGCCAGACCAGGAAGCTTCCTGAAGCACAGCCTTCTACAGAGAGCGGTACAGCCCTGGCCCGGCCCGGGGCCTTCAGCCTGGACACGCGGCAGCTTCTGGAGTTTGTATGGGAAGGCGGAGGTGACCCAGGCAGGCCCTTCTGCCCGGAAGAAGCTGCCCTGAGGACCGTCTTGGTGCCCTGGGCGCTTCCCTGCCTTCCCCTTTCTCCCCTCCTCCCCCAGGTTCCCTTCAGACCCCAGAGGGGCCAAGGGAGGCCCAGCTTCTCTGCAAGCCCCAAGGAGGGAAGTCCAGTCTTTGGGAGCCAGGTGGGGCTCCTTCTCTGCGGCCCATTCCTGGCCAAGGCGGTCCCCAGGGCTTCTTGTCCCCACATGCTGAGCCTTTTTCAAACAGTGGTACAAGTTCCCCTCAGCCGGTCTGCCTAGCCGGGCCCCGAGGTTCAAGGTGTTGGGAGCAGGGGACAGGGTCTTTCTTGCCCCACCCCAACACCAACACACTTACACTCCAGGCTGCTGGCAGAGGGTGTTCGGAAGGCCAGGAGCCACAGTCTTGGGAAGTCTGGAAGCCCCTCCCTCACCCCCCACCACAACCTTGGGCAAGCTTAGCTGGGGGCGGGCACGTTTTGACAAACGTCAGTAATATGGTGTCCTCTGGGCTGACTGGATGTTCCAAAATTGGGCCTCCCACCTGCAGATACACCCATGCAGGCCTTGGAGTACACACCCTGTTCTCACGTACACACACACTCAGAGGGACCACGTACACACACGCGGCCATGTGGGTGGCGGCATTTGCAGTTACCCACACCGAGGCCACGCTGATACGCTTGGGTTCCAGGACTAAGGCCCAGGCCTGGGAGGGCTGTGCCCACAGACACTACAAACATTCCGCAACCTGGAAGTGCACATACGTGCCCAGGGACATGCAGCCAGGCAGTCGGGTGTGCGCCTCGCACACTCATCAGAACACGCACATTCCGGTAGCCCCTCCCGGTCTTCCTGGTCCCTGCGCTCACGCCTGTCTCCTGCAGCGGGGGAAAGAGCTCTAGGGCTGTTGGCGGTGAGGAGACCCAGCCGTCTCCCTGTCTTCCCCTCACGCCTGCTCGAGCCTGTGTGTGGCCGAGCATCCCCCGCCTCTCCTCGAAGGGCCACAAGTGGTTTATTGCCTTGTCCCTCGGCATCGGTGCAGAGGAGCTCAGGGAGTTTCCACGTAAGGCGCCCCCTGCTGGGGCCTAGAGGGAGAAGCCTGGTGCCCCATTCTGGCTTTGCCATGGTGCACGGGTTGGGGGCGTTGTTCATAGGAACAGCCCAGGTCGCCCGAGAGTGCTGCCAGGTACGGGTAGGTAGTGCGCACGTTCTGGCCCAAACGCAGCCCATCTGGGGGACCGCAGGTCCCGTCGGCCCCCTTCCCACTCCCCGTTGGCTTTCGGTAGCTCTCGCATGCAGTTCTATTAACAGCAGCCTAGAAACGATGCTTTAGTGGCCTAACCCAGAGTCAAATACTGCTCTTTCCAGCAAAGGCCGGCAGCTCTGCCTCACCCGCAGAGGCACTCATTAGTCTACTAACAGCCAAAGGCCCCCCACCCCCACAGGGCACTGGGAGGGGCGAGCCCCTGGGCACGGGCGCACGGGTATCCTAGAAGCGATTTCCCCGTGAATGTCAGCCTGCCAGCGTGGCCGCCCCGGCGTGGCCCCTCCCAAGTCCTTCCCGCTCCCCTCCCTTCCCCACAGTGGAATTGTTGAAGTGTGGCGAGTCTGTGCTTGGGACAATAAAGCTTGTGACTGAGGTCCAGGACCCCTGCAGTCATCTGGTCTCTCCGTGGGCGCCTTGGGCTCCCCAGCCTCTCCCAGGTCTTGGGCCCCTGGTGCCAGGAGGTGGCCCCTGACCTGCTCTCTGCTGCCAGCTAATCCTGCTCAGGTGCGGACAGCGGGGCAGGGCCTCGGAGGGGCTGGAGGTGAAGGAGTCCCGGGGCGGAGATGTCCTGTCCCAGGAGAGGAGGCCTAGCAAGGGCGGCAGGGACCCACGGGCAGTGAGGGCAGGCCCAGAGAGGGCGCACCCCGAGTTTGCATTCGGATCTGAGCGTGAGAAAAACAACGAAGACAGTCACGGGTCAGCTAGCACACATTTGATGAGTCCGACGAGAACACTTCCAACTGAAGTGAGCGAACCCCGTTTCCTGCAAGCTTTCTGTGGGTCAGACGAACAGCACAGCCGCTGCCAGCTTCGCAGTCAAACAGGCTCTGCAGCGGGGCTGCCTCCCTGGGAGACCCCGCGAGGCCCCCAGGATGAGCAGTTGAATGTGCTCTCAGGAGCTGCGTGAGCAGTGTCCTAGAGGGGACGGTGGGACAGTGGCAGGGAAAGTGAGAGTTTAAGGGAGGGGCTGTGTGTGCAGGTGTGGACGGGGCTATGGGGACCCACGAGCGACTCTGGGGGGCCATTACTGCACCAAGGGGCGAAGCGAAGCAGCTGTCACTGGAACCAGGCAAAAGGCACAGCTGGGGACAGGCCGCCAGCAGGCAGGTGGTGCAGCCCAGTAGGGAAGGAGCTGGGGGAGCAAACACCCGACCCCTCTCTTCCCTCCTGCTGGCTGAGCCCGGGACAGAGGACACAGAGTGGATCTGGGGTGTGGGCAGACCCGGGATAGATTTAAGCAGCACCCTATTCTCTGGGCTTCTGCTGCTCAGAATAAATGCTCTCCGTCCTTCCAGAACGTACCTTACCGGCCCAGCATTTTGAAATTCACAGAGCTGCAAACAGGAGCCTTTCCTCTCACGACTTAGCCCACACCCCTGTGACCTGTGGTCCCTTTCACTGGACCAGAGGTGCTGGGTTGGCTGAGTCACCCTGACCGGCGGGCGGTGACTGAGGGTGCTCAGCGTGTCACCCTCCCTGGTGAGCATTTCCTCAGCCCTTTGACCTTCAGTGGGCACTCCACGCCAGGGACGTGGGGTCAGAGAAGAGCGAGGTCCCCACTCACACATGCTCCGGCTGCCATTCCGCGTAACTGTGTTGACAGCCCTGGTGCGGGGAGGGAGCGTAAGAGGAGCAGGCGGCACTGTCCGGGGCCGTGGGGCGCCTGGTGCACCTGCGAGGCCTGGGCGCAAGGCTTACCTGTTACAGTCCCAGGTCTGGCATCCTGAGCCCTCGTCTACCCAGGGTCTGAAATTCAGGATGGAGGAAAGGAAGCTCGAAGAGGATGGGGTCCTGGGGGTGACAGATTCACAGAGAGCTCCAGCCCTCAGGGAGCTCATAGCCTCAAAGGCTGGAAGACCCCCCCATGTGGGGGGACTGGGGGTGCTGTGTGCAGTGGGAGGGCTGGAGGGCAGCATGGGCCCTCCAGAGGCAGCAGCCAGGAGGGGTGGGGTGGGGTCTCTGACAGCACCACCCTGGAAAGAGCTCAGGCCCTGGACACCCTTGGGGTCCAGCCCAGCCCGCCACCCTCTGGCTCATGGTCTCATCCACTCCCCTGAGCCTCAGTTTCCTCATCTTTGAAATGGATGAAATAAAACAGACCTCATGCACTATGGGGTCTGAGTGGGACCCTGCAGAAACCCTTAGAATGGAGGCTCTGCCCAGGTGGTTTCCTCCCCACTCCCAGCGTAGCAGGGAAGGTGCGAAGCAGACAGGCAGGGGACATGCGCTGACACGTCACAGGAGCCTCAGAGCTCAGTGCAGCAGGTGGCCCTGCTTTGAAGCATCAGGAGCCAGCGGCAGGCAAGGGTCTTCCCCCTAGGCCTGGGGTTCCCAGAGGGCTGGGAGCTGGCTGCTCTGGACACAGAGGGTGCCCCAACACCATCCCTGGGATAACTTTTCTTTCTTAATTTTTTAATATTGACATCACTTTAGATTTACAGAAGAATTGCAAAAAATAGTGGAATTCCCATATGCCTTTCCCATCCCCCTGATGTCAACATCCTGCAGGCCGGGCGCGGTGGCTCACGCCTGTAATCCCAGAACTCTGGGAGGCCGAGACAGGAGGATCGCTTGAGTTCAGGAGTTTGAGACTTGCCTGAGCAAGAGCAAGAAGACCCCGACTCTACTAAAAATAGAAAAATTATCCAAGCACGGACCGCAGTGCATTGATCCAAACTAGGAAATGAACGTGATGGATACGACACCACCTGCCAAAATACGGGCTTTATTTGGATATCCCCAGTTTTCCCACTAATGTCCTTTTTCTGTTCCAGGATCCCACACTGTATTTATTCATTGTGTCTCCTTAGTCTCTCCAGTCTGTGACAGTTCCTCAGACCTCCCTTGTCTTTCATGACCTTGACATATGTGGAGACCCCTGCCCAGCTATTTTGTTAAATGTCCCTCAGTTTGGGTTTGCCGGTATTTTCCCCTGATCGTACTGAGGTCCTGCATCCTTGGGAAGGCGGCTCAGAGGGCATCAAACCCGGGGAGACCTGAGGTTGACACGTCTAATTACTGGTGACTGTAACCTTGATACTGCAATAAAGTGATGGACGCCAGGATTCTCCACCACGAAATTACTTTTCCCTCTGTATAATTCATAAATATCTTGAAGGAGATACTTTGAGATGTTTTAAATCTCATGCTTCTCCTTAAACCTTCACCACTGAGTTGAGCATCCATCCATGGATTGTGCTTGCAGCCATTAGCGCTGTGATCATTGTGATTTTCTAGCTTCTTCGTTCTTTCTACATCTATCCGCTGGAATTCTGGAAGGAAGGGCTGTCTTTTCCCCCCATTGGTCCAGTTCATAGCAGCATGGACTCGTGGGTATTTTGTGCTTTGGGTGGAATCCAAGTGTCTCAGTATGTGCCTCGTTGCTCAAGTTTTCTAGCTTTGGCCATTGGCAGCTCCTTCAGCTG